CGACAAGGTTCAAAAGAGGTCTCAATCTACAAGAGATACCGAAAACAGCGAATGAACCAACCACTATCTATGCCCGGAGAACCAAAATAAAAGCAAAACATTATTCTGAAGAACAGCTCAAGAATTCCTGGGAAGAAAAACCACTTCATGGAAAGTATCCAAAACGCCTTAATGATAATGATGTTGATCACCTTCAGACAAACAAATGGCTCAAAACCTCTGGATTAAAATCCCAAACTGAAGGCTTTATAATTGCTGCTCAAGATCAGTGCATTGCAACAAACTATTATAAAAACAAAATCCTAAAAGATGGTACTTGTCCTCTATGTAGAATTTGTAATCAACAACTTGAAACGATAGACCACATTGTATCGGGGTGCCCAGAGCTTGCTAAGACAGAATATATCCATCGACATAACAAAGCAGCCAAATATATTCATTGGAAAGTATGTAAACACTTCAATATAAATGTTAATGAGCGATACTATAAACACGAACCAACAACTGTGACTGAAAACGATCAAGTTACAATACTATGGGACATGGGGATACATACTGACAGAGAAATAACAGCCAACCGTCCAGATATTGTTGTGAAAGACAAAGAAAATAAAACATGTTTGCTAATAGACCGTTCCCACAGACAAAAACATCTCAATAAAAACAACCGAAAAACTCTCAAAATATAAAGACCTTGAAATCGAAGTCGAAAGAATGTGGGGCTTGAAAACAAGTACAATACCTGTGATAATTGGTGCTTTAGGACTTATTAAAAAAGGGATAGATAAATATATAAACAAAATTCCTGGAAATATCAAAATAGTAGAGCTACAGAAGATTGTGCTCCTTGGTACAGCACATATACTAAGGAGGACACTATCCATCAAGTAATACCAATCACAATTATGTATGGACTCCTAATGTTCAAGGGATGAACACGGACCTATATTTTATAAAACTTGAAAAGAAAACAATACAGATAATAATAATAATAAATGTAATTCTTATATAGCCCATTCCATATAATCTCAATGGACTTCAAATAGACAGGAGCAAGACCATTTAGTGCTTTGTATGTTAAAAGGAGTATTTTGTATACCACTCTTTTTTTAATTGGCAGCCAGTGAAGATTCCGCAATACTGGTGTAATATGTTCTTGTCTCTTTGTTCGTGTAACCAGTCTAGCAGCAGAGTTTTGTATCTGCTGAATCTTTGAGATGTCTTTGTCTGGCAGACCATACAGCAGGCTGTTACATTGATCAAGCTTACTGGTTATCAAGGCGTGGGTGAGTTTTTCAGTAGTTGGAGTGTCAAGGTATCGTCTAATTTGCCCAATGCGTCTCAAGGAGAAGGAAGCAGATTTGCAAAGTCGGTTGATATGTGTCTTCATGTAGAGATGTGGATCCAGCATCACACCAAGATCACGGACTGAAGATGCAAGAGGTATGTTTGACTGATCGATAGTTATTGTAGAGAGTTCGGTAGTATGTCTCTGATATCGCGAGACAAACCGCATGGCCTCTGTTTTTGATTCGTTGCAAACTATCTCATTATCAGCCAACCAATCAAGGATAGCTTTAATGCACTTCTGGAGATTAGCAATTCCACACCGTAATTGGGTTTTATCAATCGATATATAAAGCTGGGTGTCATCAGCATAAACAGCGCAAGTAAGACCATGCCTTTCAACAATATCCTCAATGGGTGCAACATACAGTGAGAACAAAGATGGTCCAAGGACAGAGCCCTGCGGGACGCCACGTTCTAAACAAGCAGGCTCAGACGTCTCGTTTCCAATCTTGACAGACTGCGTCCGCCCACTCAAGTATGACTTGAGCCATGCAAGAGCTGCACCATGAATACCATAACGGTTCTGAAGTCTGCAGAGAAGTATCTTGTGATTAACCATGTCGAATGCAGAGTTTAAGTCCAACAAGACAAGGAAGAGGTCATTATTGTCGTCCAATGCCAAGCAAATGTCATTATGGACGTGCAGCAATGCTGTTTCTGTACTGTGGTTAGGTCTGTAGGCAGACTGCATTCGGTCATAGAGTCCATTCACTTGCAGATGGTGATGTAGCTGATTAGAAACAAATGACTACCAAAAAAACAAGGTCAGGCACGAAATTCTTAGGTCATTGGTTCAGCTCTGCCGTTAGCCGTTAGCCGTCAACGTGATGCTTAAACTCTCTATTATAAAAGCATTTATGACGACAGGTTTGGGATTGATCGCTTTGATGATAACTCACTTAACGAACAAGTTGGCTTCACAAAAGACGAAAAAAAAAGAAAAATACTCAAGCTCAAAAATTCAGAAAGGCAACACAAATAACTCAGATACTGGCTTCGCTTGCAAGCGAAGGTGGTGTGATAACATTCCGTGCGAGAATGGACATTCTCAATGACTCAAGTACAAATGTCAAGAAGATGAAAAACAAAATCAACAGCGCAAAAGAGTTTTACGACGAAATGAAGAAGAATGCAATGCAAGAGAGAAAAAACGAACACAAGAAGACAAATCAAGGGAAAATCGAAAAGAAGTTGCAATTGAGAAGAGACGAAAACAAGGTGATGAAGCAAGTGAAAAGCTTAAAAAAGAAGTCGGTACAAGCGAAAAAAGGCAAATGCCGCAAGACAAACCAATGGAAATTTGACAAAAAGAAGAGAATACAAGTGATAAAAAACAGGAACAAAATAAACAAAAAGAAGAAGACAATACATCAAGTGAGATAAAACTAAAACAGGAAGACAAACCAAGTGTGTAAAGCTGAACAACAAAGAAAAAGAAGAGGATAATGACCACGACCTCAAAAATATTTTAATATTACAACCGTTATCGTTGAAGTGCGACCTACGAAGCTAAAAGTCTCGTTTTGAAACTAGCATTTAAGTGGACGTCAATCAATGCAAATTACATGTTAACGCGAAGAAGGGTTTTTATGTAAAATTTGGTACTGCGTATCGGCTTTAAAATATCGGTAAAAACTTAACTGGCGAAATCCCGCGTATCTTTAGCGAAAGTCTGAGATGGAGAGTCATAAGATTTACTCTGACGAGAATAAAAGTCCCGGATATATGCAAAAAGCTAGATGTATCTCCTACATTCGTAAAGAAGATCCGGAAATTGTACGCAGACACTGGAAGCATCCAAGGCAAGAAACGACTTGGTAAAAGCAGGGATCTCTCATGTATTGTATCTGTTTATTTGTGCCTGTTGAAGTGGGATTGTTATAGTGTCCGTCAGTTGATAATTTGAGATTTCTTTATAGCTTGTGAAGTACTTTTATTGCATACTCTTGTTGACGAACACCCTGAACTTTATCTCGATGAAATGGCCGAATAGTTACAGTTTGTTACTGGAAGGAATAATCCAATTTCAGTTCCACTTATAGAACGATTTCTCCAGAGGATTGGATTGTCACGCAAGCAGGTAGGTTCCGTGTTTTATTACGATGAATTAGATAAACTTTCTTCAGTACTGCTAATATTAGCCTCTTGACAAAATAGCCTGTACTTGAGGTCCTTATAAAGAATTGATATTGATTTTCAGCTACAAATAATTGCGAAATAAAGAAATGAATTGGCAAGAGCAGAATTCCAAAGAGAAATATCCAGTTTTCGTCGAGATCAACTCCTCTTCGTCGACGAATCATCCAAAGACCAAAGAAATTTGCAGGTGCAGCACTTGACGATTATTAATAGTAGTTTATTCAAAATATTTTGTTATTAAGAATATTTGTATCATTAAAAAAATATAGTTCTGAATTCATAAATAGTTTAGTAGTAGGAGTTAATCTGCACCCAAAACTAACTTGGTTCAATGTGTTTGTACAGCAACACCAGTTTCATGCAAATGATAATAAGAGGTATTTTCAGGTAACTTACCTTGCAGAGAAAATATGGAAGAGAACTGAAGGGGACAAAAGTTTCAATGAAAGGACATTTTGTAAGAGGAAAAAGATATAGTGTTTTGGGTGCTATTACCACACAGGGGGCTTTTGGGCACTGTATTTTTGGAAGCTATGACAAGGAGCAATTTGGGTTTGCAATGAAGTACTTTGTTTTGCCACATGTTGGATCATTGGCAGAGGGAGAGAAGAATTCTGTTGTAGTACTGGACAACTGCAGGATACATGACTATGCAGCTGTTTTGGAAATGGTTCGTGGTGCTGGGGTCATAGTCATTTTCTTACCGTAAGAATAACTGTTTATAAGTGAGAATGCATCCTAGTGATAATACAAGAACGCTTTTGGATTTAACATGCTATTTAAAAGCAAATCAACCATTTTTGAATAATAATTTTTAATAGCTTTTAAAAAAGCTATTGAAAACAATAGATTTGAAGCAATTTTTACCACTTTTAGACCATATTCACCTGATTTCAATCCACTGGAAGAAGCATTTAATATTGCAAAAGCATGGATACAAAAAAATCAAGATTTTTGCAGAAATCACCCAAAGAGGTGCTCTGAATATGCACTTAGCCAGGTAAAATATTTGACAAGTGTTCATATCTTTGTGTTTCTAGCTGAACTTTGATAGATGAAACTAAGCCATGGCTTAATTGCTCACATGAATAAAAATTATGATCATTGAAAATAATACTAATTGGTTTATTTTTTTTATTCCTCCTGATGTTTGTTGCTCAGAATATGAAAGTTGTGGTTACTGTAATAGATTGGTAATTAATCTATCTTAAACACACAGTAAATCGCACGGTATGGTTTCACACAGACCTCATGCTATCAAGTAACCCATAATACAAGTACTAATAACCACGTGACAATGTCACGCAATACACTACATTTCTCCTTTCCTACGGAAAAATAGCTGTAAGAAACTTAGTTAACAATTTAAGAAAATCAATAACAATCAATAAAATTCTGTTGAATATCCTGATGAAATGTCTTTGAATAAATTGTTCTTGATTACAATAAAATCATAAACGAAATGTCAATAACATCAACGTTAACATGTTCATGTTCATGTGAGTTCATAGTTACATCTCCTCAATGAGTCTTTGTGGTGGTCTGGTAATCCTTGTAGACCTTCGAGTTGCACATGCAGGTTCAGTTCCAACTTCAGTCATGGGTTCTTCAGGGCTGTTGGAGTCAGGATCAGTTGACAACTCTTTGAAGTGTGATGAGTTACGAGTAACTCTTCTTTCTTCATTCTCCGCAGTTATCATGCTGTGATTCTTTTCAACCACTTTCAGGGGTGAAGGATGATAAGGTGTTGACAGCTTTTCCTTCTTTGGCTGCTTAACTATCACAGTATCACCAACTTTAATGTCACATTCTCTGATGTTTCTTCTGTCCTCTGCATACTTCTTCATCTTCTGTTTTTGGAGTGCATCTTTCTCTCGCATGTCATTTGGGTCAAATGGGTTGCCCGAAGGCAACTTGATTGTGTCAGTCAGCTGGACTCTGATTGGTCGTCCAAAGAGAGCAGTGGCTGGAGCAACACCAGTAGTACAGTGTGGTGTGGCTCTGTAGTTGCGAAGAAAACTAAACATGCTTTGCTTCCAATTAGTAGAGGTGCGAAGAACTTTGCCAAAAGTTCTCATGAACCTCTCAACCTCACCATTTGCTTCAGGCCATAAGGGCATAACTTTGCGGTGCTTGAAACCGAGGTAGTCAGCAAACTGAGAAAACTCATTGCCATTGAATGGTGGTCCATTGTCTGACTTTACAACATGTGGAACGCCATAAGCAGCAAACATGCGATCCAGCTTTGGGATCACTGCCTTCGCAGACGTTGAGTGAACAACTTCAGGAAATCTTGAATAGTCATCAATGACTACAAGTACATATTGTCCAGCTACTTCAGCAAAATCAATGCTCACCTTCTCCCATGGTCCACGTGGGAGTGGAGTCATCTTCAGGGGCTCGC